TTCCATAAGCTGAGGTAAATACTATACATATAAAGAAGGTGCACACACACTGAAAAAAATGGTGTACAATATTCACTCAGAAATTGGTAGTAAATTTCATTACATTTACAAAGAAATGGCAAGTAAGATTTAATTAAACAGGACATTTTAAAGTAGAAAATTGGATCAGTACTTTCTTGTAAAACATTCTCCAGTAATTTTTATTTGCAACCTCAATTTTTTTTTATTGTGCAGTGTCATGTACACAAAAACACAACACCAGCATGGTAACACACGACACTAAAATAATATACAATATACATTCATTTAACAACATATGCAATATGAAACCCTCATGCATGTAACTAATAAGACATTTGAAAATTTTAATTTTACTGTAAGATTACAAAGCATTTTTCATAGCATTTTTACTGTTTTTTTTTTTTACCAGTGTGTTTCCAAACCAAGGAACCAAGTTCACAAGTGTCTCTGCCTCCACAACTTCTTGAATATCTAAAATCTTAATGGGAACCAATCTAGTCACAAACACCCTTGTTTAGAGCCCCGCATTTAACCTTCACAGGACAGCGTAAACATTAAAGCTTTGCTCTGCAGAAGTTGAGCTCAATCAACAGCGTTTGTTACGAGGCAGCGAGGAGCAGAACAAAGTGTGTTAAAGCGGCACAGTCTATGATTTATCCACAGGTGTTAGCCGCAGCCTTCGTCCTCTAGTGCTGTCGCCAACATCAAATGCACTCGCTCTAATGCGGTGTCACTCAGAGAACAAGGTACGGCGGCACATTAAATATGTTTTTGAAATCATGTTTCTGATTCATGGAAAATGAGCTTTGCATGCACATTACCCTTCCGCCAGAGCTTGCAGCCTATTGGATTCCCGCCGGCTGCAACTTTGTTTTTCACGACCAGAGGAAGTTGATATACAGCCGTGGTGGGATATTGCTTTGTATTACACATTCACTACTCTCCCTGAGGGGATGCTCTCTAACTGAGGTGAGAGCAAGAGGGCCTTTTAGACAGCCCGCTAATGACAGAGAAGCATTAGTGCTGTTCTCCCTAAAGCAGCACTTCATACATTCACATGCTCAGGGGACAACTGGCCCCGAAAGCACTGATCTGGAACTCTCTCCGTGTTCCTCAACGGGTTACCTGTGAGGAGCGTAAAGGAAAACAATACCTTATTCCAGATAAGCTCCCACTTGCCTTCCTTGACAGCAAAGGAATGTGCGAATCTCAGAGGGTCCTCTTTTTCTGGAGAAGTCAGTCAGATCGTGAGACAAACAGACAGAAAGGGGCATTAGCTGTGGCTGGCGGGTTTAGTCTGAGTTAGCCCGGCTGCGGCGATCCGTTCAATCCGACCCATCAGCGCCGGGTTGTGGCCTAAGAGAGCCGACGAGATGCTTGGGTGGAGAGACTGGACTTCTTGACAGAGTTCTTGGGGGATAACGTGATTTGTGATGTAATCCACATGAAATCCATACATGGGGGGATCGGTGTGCCGAGAAACGAGAGGGATTGTTCACAGAACTGGAGTGAGCATTTTAGCGCCCCCGGATAGCTTTTCAGATGGCCTGTGGGGTGAGTGTGTGTTTTAGCGTGTGTGCCGTGCAACATTTCAGAGATTAGGAGGTGACAGGTTAGATGGGTGAATCAGGATGCGGAGCGTCAGGTCGAGCTGTTAACTGTGTACTCAGCAGATGTAGAAGGCAGAGGGGGCATGTTTGGAGAGGGAGAGAAAAAGAGAGCAGGTCTGTGTATGGAGGAAAGAAAGAGACATGAGGCATCATATCTATATCGCTAAACTTATGCTCATAATGCCTTTAGTCTTATTTTCCTTTAGTTTAACCTTCTTAATTATGCATTTAAACGTGCTCTCAGTATTATTCCCTTATTTAAAAAAAAAAAGATTTACCCCTAAAGAGATTAATAGCACTTTTGAAAAATGTTTAATATAATATACACTCTTATGAGATAAAGAATCAAGCATATCAGTAGCCTAATTTAAAATCACTACTTGGAGGCTAAATAAATTATTTTATTTTATATGAAATAATATTTTTTCATATATTTTGTATCTAATGTTCGTATTTTCATTTTAATTTCTTTTTACTCTTGCAATTTTGTTATTCATTTTATTTAACTATTTCATATTTTTTTGCTTTATAATGAATGTATTTTAATTTTAATTTATTTTTACCCTTTTGTAATTTTGATTTATAATAATATTTAATAATTTTTTGCAAATTTTTTAATTCCCACAGATTAACTGCTAATGCTTTAGCAAAACTAAAACATCCAGAAAAGTTATTTTTTCCTTTTATTGAAATTAATTGTTGCTTATTTCTTTAATTTTTTTTGTTTTTTTGGGGGTTTTTTTGCATTACTTGATTTTTTATTTTTTTTTTTACCCTGTTTGTACTATTATTAGCACTTTACACATTTCTTATTGCACACACGTTGCAAATGTTTTGGCAATAAATAGTTTTTCGTGCCATTGCAATTCACAAAATAGAAAAAAAATTATATGAACCAAATGTGTTTGACAGAAAGAAAGATAGAATGTGTGTGTGAGGGAAAGATAGAGGCAATGAAATAGAAAACAAAACAAAAGAAGAGGATGGAAAGAAAAACCGAGCAGGCGGGGTCAAGCGACAGGAAGCTTCAATGATTCATTTATACCGAGGGTGGGCAGTTTTACAATTGTATAGATAGTGGCTCAAATGTCTCCAAGTCCACCGTTTTGCACAGCTGGAAACACGGCCGTTAAGCTCCAACCCTGGCAGAGCGAGACACTGAATCAAAAGACTCCGCACTGCGTGAGCTACGTGTAGCCAACACACACACACACACACACACACACACACACACACACAGAAGGTAGATTCTGGGCCGCTGAGCAGCATCTGTTGATTGTGACACTCTCACTCACCTTTCTATGTCATGTCTCATACATTTTTCATGGTGCCGGTTTTCTTCACCATGAACTGTGTTCAGATGGCCTAACTGACAGGAAAGAGAATTCCCCACCGTGTGAAAGGAGGCAGTGCTGCCGTTCGATCCTGTATGATTACGGATCCATAATAATGTGACTGTAAATGTATGGCATTAGAAATATTTTCTAGATAGCTCACAGAAGCGTTTCTGTGTGTATGCAAGCGAGCGTCGTCCTCCTGAACGTGTGTGTTTATTTGTGTGCTGTAGCGTGTCATCTGAACTCTGTTACACTACTGCCATCTGCTGCTAGAACGACTCTCTGTTGGGTCGCTGCATTGAGCTTCACATCCTTATTCAACATTATGGCTTTATAAAATCATAAAATAATAAAACATGACACCAAATGCTTGTTTCCATGGCCTCAAATGTCCTTTCTCTTGCTTCAAAGTTAGTACTTCTGTATGCTAGCTTTATGTCTTTACTCGCCTTAGTTTTTGTTGTTTGGATGTGTAATAAACAAGAAGTCATTTTTGATAGATGTGATTACTCTATACTAGGTTATTTCAATGTTTCTCTCTTTAATAAAACCGCCGGTGCAATTTTAAAATCAAGAAAATAGCTTACTCATATTTTGAAACTTCTAAACCTTCCACCTTTAACTATTTTAACTTTGCGTTCTTTGCTTTTAACTGCTTCTTGTATGAAAGAGGCCATCGTGAAAGTATGCATGACTCAGCTCTCGTCTCTCAGAATAATTTGCTTTTGTCTGCAGGTTATAAACAACATCCTTCACTGGTGTATGTGGTGATTGTATGACCTCACGTTGAAACTGAGATGATTTATCATTTTAGGATTTCAGAATCCAAAAGATTTCTCCCACATAATAATTCATATAGTGAGCAAAACATTGAGCATCAGTCACTGGAGGACTGCCCTCTGTCCTCTAAATGAATAAAAAAGTCACTATATCATAATCTGCTGTTATTGGTTTATCAGTATTGAGGAAGAAGAGGGGTCCAGTGTGTGTAAAGCTGAATTTAATTGACAGCTGCACTAGAGGTAAGGCTAACGACAAAACACAGTACCTTTTATGAAGGTCTGCTGTATCATTTGGCATATTGTGTTTGTTTTTCTTTTTTATTATTTTAAGAGTAGTGGTGAGAAAATAAATTGCTCAGACATTGGAAAATTGCTTCTCACACCAGCTTGTTAAAAAAGCCAATTATGTCAGCAGCGTAATGGCCATTGTCAAGCACAGCGGATTATTTGTGTCAGGGTCTTCATTTTCCAATTCATCCCAAACCCCATCTGGGTTAAAGAGAGAGGGAGTCTGGTAGAGCATCTTGATATCACCAAAGAGGGGAGAGAGGGAGAAGGAGATGTCGAGTTTAGAGGACTAAAGTGACTGAGAGGGACAAAATTAAACCCACCTGGGATAAACGCATTCATGTAAGCCCGTGGGACGCACGGCAGCGGGCTCATGGGAGTTCTGTGTGGGGTTTGCTGAGATGTATTTTGCTGTCCGTTGGGACAGCACTCATTGCAGTCTAGAGATATTGAGAGAGCACAAAATTAGTGCAGCCACGAAACATCCAGTATGCCAGAGCTATTATAAATATTTGATATAAAACATGACCACAGTAGTAGAGCGTTCCTCTAGACAAATGTGTGGACTACTTTATCAAGGATTTTGAGGGAAGATAAATCTGCCAAACAACTTTTTAACATGCCCATCAATGTGCTGGTGTTATGATACTGTTGTAGTGTAGTAACGTGTTTTGTTTTGGGGGTTTGTTTGTTTTCTGGTTTTGATTTGCTTAAACTTTTTTTCTGTTATTTGGTTTGCTTTTTTCTTGTTTTGTTTTGCTTAGATTCTTTCTGGGTTTTGTTTGATTGTTTGTTTGTTTGTTTTTTCATCTTTTTTATTTTGTTTGGTTAGTTTATTTGTGTTTTTTCTCACTTTTTTTGTTGTTTTTGCTTCTGTTTTGTTTTTTGTTTGTAACAGAAGAATTTCAGTAGTATGTTTATTCTTAATACATCTGTGTTTATCTATGACTATCTTTTTTTAGATGAAAAGCAGGATGAAGAAATGATGAGCCAGCAAGGTAGGCGTTTCGTGTATGATTGTTCAAAGCTAAGAGAATTTTGTTTTTCCTGGCATTGACCTTCTCGTACAAAGCCCTGAGACAGAGTCGTTTCCGAGTAGTTATATTTTACAAGCAAGAAGAGCAGGTCTGCAGATTTACTTCAGTGCTTGTCTCTTCTGAAAGACACATCATTAAAATGTTCCTGTGTCTTGTTATCCTAGTATTTAGCTTGTGTTATCGTCTTGTCACCTCAATTTAGGAGCAACAGCAATTTGTCTGTACTTAATGAATTATTTTATCTACTACAACTTAATGATTGGCTTGTTCTCCTTGGAGCAAATTCAACTCCACAACTAGAACCAAACAACATCCTGAGTATAAATGGTTGAAACTTCGCTAACTAAATTTAAAATGGGATTAAATAATCTGTGTGATGTTGTAATATCAAATTTTAATATCAAAATCACACTGCAGTTTCTCATCCTCAGTAAGCCATTAAGAAAAAGACATGTTTGATAATCAAACATCAGCTGGAACCTTTCCTGTTCCTCTTCACAGAGGAGTTTGTGCTTTCATTTCTGCTTGCCAGCAGCAGGAGTGATTAGATAGCAATCATCCTCTCTTCTTTAATATGGGTTTAGCCACTGCAGTCTGATGAAAGGACAAAAAAAAAGATTTTTCTTGCTTGTTTTTTTTTTTTTTTTTTTGGTTTAAGAAGACAAAAAGTCTTGTCATTAAGTGTATTTCTCTTGTGTGATTTCAGAGGAATCTACTGAGGATGTGACAATGCAAAGCCAGGACCCAGAAGGTTTGTCATCATCTAAAAAGTTAAACACTTAAGACACTCGTATTTTAAAATTTGTGAATGGAATTGCATTAGATAGCAAAATATCAAATAATTTTAGGAAATACAGCATGCAAGTCGTTTCACAGAAGTTTCTAAGCTTTTAAGTAATAAAACAAGAGATGCATTATTCAAAATTATTAAATAAAGTATTTGGACACTATCTGGTTCACTTGAAACCTCCAGCACCATTTGTTTGCAAATGGTTCAGTATTTGACATTCATACATATTCATGACATTCATACATATTTAAGTATGACTTAAGTATCTAAAAGTTTACCAATACTTTTTCAGACCAATACATATTTCCTGATTTCTCATAATATCCTGTAGCCGAGAACAACGGGAATCAGAAAACATGCAAAATAGGTCCGTCTTTGCAGTTCAGTATGCATATATCTCACCCAAACACATGGAGTCTACATGCTAGTGAGCAAAAAAATTCACTGGGTCTCTCCACAGTCTTTACGCTTCACATGTCACGCTGTACCCATTCGCTGAAGGATCTGGATTGGCTCTGTTGTCCTTGAACTTGTCTCATTACGGACAGAGAGAGTGGCTGTCAGATACAGTTATTACCGTGACGCTCTTGTGCATGTGTGTGTGTGTTTTGGGGGTGCATCTGTTTAATGAGACACCTCGCTCCAATCCACACGAACATAGACAGACATCAGAACATGTGCATCGACAGACACACACCACTGCACACGCTGAAATGATCGCTTGTACACACACACATACGCTCAGAGGCGCATGGCCCGACTCCCTCTGGGTATTCATGTAGCATGATAGAAACTTTACATTTAAACCCGAGGACAAAACCAGCCTCAGCCTGTCTCTGCTCAGCTAACGTTGAGCTAACACTAAATGTCACTTTGACTGCAGAGCTCTGAATCGCGTTTGCACACTCATAAGCCGCTGTTTTGTTTTGGGTTGGGAGTATCGACTTGGTTACCGAAGTACCAGTGCTTTTTGACATCCTTATCGCCAACTTTTGATTTACTTTTCCCCTTCCAGCTCTGATGGCTGTAGCTATGAGCATTATTAATAGTAGTCTCGCCAAGCAGAGGAGGCAAAGCAAATGTTCTGCTTGGACCGAACCCAAGAGCCAGAGATACTTGCAATTATGTTCCCTGGAGAAAAGCAAAACAGAGAGGTTTTTAAGACCAGGTGAGGTGGAGCTGGAGATTCTGCAGAGACAGAGGCTAAATCTGAATTTACCTGAGTGCCGAGCACCTGCGACGCATGAATCACGAGTGCGAACTGCCACATAAAGATGTATCTGCATTGTTTTTTCATGTTTGTTTGTTCATTCATGTGTTTTTCTATACACACGTACAATTTGTATGTGTGTATATATATAAATAATTAACTATTTATTATGTATTATTATTTCTTCGCATATTAAAAATATGCATGACCATATATCTGTGTGCAAACAGTATAAAATCCTACTAATAAAGAGTTTGTATGAATTCTATCCCCATATACAAACTGTTTTACACACAACCACAGGAGTAAAATTCATACTCTGGCTGAATACATCTCATTTCAGAGGGAAAACATACCAAGCTTGGGAAAAATAAACAATTTCTCTTCAAAATGAATGACACCCATATTGTTGTCTCTGCCTTGGTGTCTGTCATTCTAGGGTGCATGTGGGTCTTTAGTGTGTCCAGATATTTTGTGAGACAAGTGTAATTGTTTTTCTGTCTGTTTGTTTTCCAAAGGCGAGAGTCCTGACGCCGAATCCAAGGACGAGGAGGCCAAACCTCCTGAAAAAGGAGAACCTACAGGTAACAACTGCTCCCATATTTTGCTCTAGTTTTTGATTGTAAATGTAAACATAACTTTGACTCAAGATATTTTGAAAATACAGTACAAAAATACAATTAAAAAATATATATTTTTAAATGTAATGTTTTCCTGTGATGGCAAAGCTGAATTTTTAGCAGCCATTATTTCAGTCACATGATCCTTCAGAAATCATTCTAATATGCTGATTTGGTGGATATCAATATTTGTAACTGTTAACAGCCAGGCTTCTGTATGATAAAATAAACTGAAAATGACAAATAGTCAGTTCATGCAGGAACATATGGTGATACTCCATGATTCTACTGTTCTTGAAGAATTTATAACAACTTGGTTTTCAAATTTGGCTAAACATAGCAGTTTTTTACCCACAACTAGGACTGCACAATATATATACAGTGTATATATATATATATATATAATTCAATGTTATACAATAGAAAAAGTAATAATGTGTAAGGCGAATATTTTTAGTGTATTTAAAAACAGAAAATTACATATCCAGCATTTACTTTTCACAATATGTGCAACATTTTAATAAGTGTGATATATTGCACAGTCCTACCCACAATGTTTGTTACCACCTGTGGTTTTAAAATGAGGTAAATAACATTTTAATATTCAAATAAAACCTGCGCCACTGACAGTAAGTGATTAAACAGTCTTGACATCTTGGGTTTAATATTTGAAACCAGCTTTCCCACACCACAGAAATACATTCACTTAAAAAATTAGCAATGAAGTGAGCAATCTGGGCTCCTCTTGGGATGCAGCGAGATCGAGAGTCCTCGGGCGGCTGTAACGAGTGTGTGTATGTGGGTGATATAAGTCTTACTTTCCTGCAGGACACTACATGAGTCTCGGTATCTGTAAGTGAAGGATGGAGGCCTCCAGGGCTCCATATTGCCCAGGTGGTGCGATATGAGCCTCACACAAACCGCCAAACTACCCCACACACTTCCCACTCCTCCATTGATTATGTGAACGCATGTCTGTGTCCCTCTGAACTGCGACTTCAAACGCTTTCCCTGCAGATGGAGTCAGGGTGGACACGTGTGCATTAAATCCTGTTTTGTGTTTTTCATCTGATGGAGTGTGTATGTGTGTGTAGGCGAGGGCAAAATTGATGTCTTTTGCGGCCTTGTATCCCACTCCAGAGCAGACACAGGTGTTAGCTGGAACCACACAGATGGATACTCTGACTCTACATCCCTTTAAAAGAGAGAGAGAGGGATGAGATAGGGAGAGAGAGAGACCCAAACGCAAATTAAAGGCATTAGGCTGAAACAGCTGCTCCAGTTCACCCTAAAGTGGCAGCTTAATACCGCTCGGTCTTAAGCAATGGGTCGCCTATTTCTTCTCCATTAAAACCATCATTTAGAACTCATCAAGTCAATCTGAGTGATGGTCCACCAATATTCCATCTCACAATATATACAGTTATTAAATCTTATTGCACACTCCTTTCATTTATAGCCATTTTTAGTGAGTCTAGTGATTTGCTGGCTCAAACATCAAATTTGTTGTACATTTGAGTATAAAACGCAAGAAATGCTAAGTTCATGGGGCCTTGAACTGTAATCCTTTGTTTCTTTTTCTTTTTTAAATGTTTCTTTTTTTTTTTTTTTTGACAAGTTGGCTGTTCAAATAAAAAAAAAAATAGTATAATATTATTTTGTTGGCAATTATTTATTTATTTATGGAATGAGGACCGAAGCAGGTGTACATTTATTTATTGTTCAAAAAAATTTTTTTTACCATCAGTGAGATTTAATTTTATTTATTTCTTTATTTATTTATTTATCTATCAAATGTGATAGCTGAGATTTTTTCATCAAAGAATAGTAGAAAACAATATTAAGTAGCACAACTTTATATTCATCAAATAAACCTAAAAACAAGTATTTTGGTTTCCTCAAAAAATATTAAGCAGCACAATTGTTTTCAACTTTCCTAATAATTTGGAATGTTTCTTCAGCAGAAAACAACCATATAAAAATGAATTCTGAAGGATCACGTGACACTGAAGACTGGGGTAATGATGCTGAAGATTCAGCTTCGCCATCACAGTAATAATCTACATTTTAAAATATATTTAAATAGAAAACAGTTATAATATACTTTATAATATTATTCTTGAGCCAGCCTTGGTAGCATAAGAATCTTCAAAAATATTACAATATCTTACAGACCTCAAACTTTTGAACAGTCTTCTGAGTCATAAAAAGCATGATCTCTTATTGGTGTACAAACAAAGAGCTTAACAAAACAAACCATTCAGAAGAAATATATATTAAAAAGAAAGAGAAAAATAACAGTAAAAACCATAAAATGCCACAGTTTTATTTTTGCAACCTAAGAACATAAGAACACTTTTCATCATGGTAAAATCACTGTAACAGTCTCTCTCACTGCTTATTGCTTTTGTGTTAAATGGACTGCTGAACGCAGAGCATTTTTGGCTCTCATACTCTATTTGTTAAATGAAAATGGAAACCGTGTCCACAGGACAGAGGAAGATGCACCATTTATAATAACAAGCACATTTTTCACATTTTACATGTTTCTTCATCAATCCTACTTAATGCAGTCCTGCCCACTAAAATCCAACTACAGCCCACTAAAACGACAGTTAAAATTCACTGAAGGCTGAGCAATGTAAATTCTGGCAAGTTTCTAATCAACTTCAAATAAATCTTTATCAATTTCAACAAGTTCCACAAATGTCAACAAGCTAGCCAAACTGGTTTGATTCCCCACACAATCCACATGTAAGACAGCAGCTGTAATGCAAGACTTAATCATCATTGCTTAAGTAACTCACACACAGACAGAGATCATAGACTCACATTCTCATGTTCATACCCAGAGGGCACCTGAAAGGACATGACTAATCAGAGGCTTAAGCTATGATCAGTGCCATACATACAAACCTCACACACTCAGACACACACACAGAAGAACATCTGCTGCATCCAGTTGAGTACCAGAGAAAGGGTCTCCGTCTCCCAGATGCTAAAAGTTTTTCCAGCCGTCCCTGATCAATTAAACGCCTACAGCAATTTCTTCAATGAGAGAGAGAGTAAAGGACTGAAAATTTGCATTCAGTTTCCACATTTACTTGTTTTCTCACTGTAAAGATGTCAACCAAATCTTAAACTCTTAAACTTGTGTGACGGTAGCATGCTAATAGCAGAAATCCAGCAAATATATTTAATAAAACATGATTATTCTGCTTCTGACAGTATGTGTTCAACTAGAAGTAGGACATACTGAGTTTGTTAGTATTAACCCATGATACATAGAGAACTCAATCTGTGATATTGTTCAAAGCATAAGATATTTCTTTCGTTATGGAATGTTTTCTTTTTAACTGATATTGACATTTCTGCATATATCTCCCAGATGCCTGTTATTTATGTGTGTCTCTTTGGGTTTTAGTGGAGGCGAGTCCAACAGCAAAGAAGAAAGTTGAACAGGAGAGCGAAAAAGAGACTTGGAAGAAAGAAGGCAAGGGAGAAGACCCACAAGTTGCAGGTGAGATTTACACATCATTCACACACTGTTTTTTCCCACAGGATGTAGAAAAACATGTCAATACACACAGATCACAGAAAATAAGAGCTTAGATTTACAGGATAAAAAAAGACACATAAAACAATGTTAAACGTGATGTGTATATTTTATCCAGCTTAGTAGCAGGAGATAATTTAAGCCTTTTAATAGCTCCTTTTCTTTCAACAAGTGTAAACACTTACTTAAAAGTTGATAATCTAAATATCTATATATAATAATTAGCATGACTGGTATAATCTGATAGTTGTGCATCTTAATACTGGCTCTAACATTGTATCTATCACACTTCTACCGCATTGCTTAAGGTTTTTATATTGTGGATCTGATTATTCCTCTCACTGATAAGGGCAGTAATGATATATAGATAGTTAGACAGTAAAGTTTATCTAAATTCGCTGAAAGTTTAATCAGATGTGAAAAGTTTTCTGGCATGTGTGACTTGATAACTATAACAACACTGATCAAAGGAGAGCTGAGGAGCTGTTATATGAAATTAATTCATAATGACAAAAGTCTTTCACTGAAAGTGAGATGTGTTCACTTTTTGAGAAATTATGTTTATGAGAACGGCCTAAAATGCATTTTCACACTTAAGCCATTAAAAATGAACATCATTAGACACAAAATATTAAATCTTGTGGCATTTGCAAACAAATGATTAACCTTCTCTCAGATTTCTTTTTCATGTTCTTTAACCAGCTGGTTCTTAGTGGATGCACATTTTCCAGTCTGAAAACAAACAAAACAAGAAATTGTCCAATACTTTGTATTTCAGTTTTGAATAGTATATGTGTTTGATGTGATATATTACTATTTATTGTAATTGCGTTCATAATGGCATTCAGCAACTCTCTAAAGTCATTATAGGTTTCCTGCAGGAATTGACCGCTTGGAAGCCTCTATTCCTTTTATCAAGATGTGAAAGCCAGTTTTTTCCCTCTCAAAAAAAGCATTTTGTTTTTTGATTGTGTATTGATTGATTGTTTTCTGTGCGTGCTGAAATAGAACATTTTTGAAAAGCCTCTGTGCAGAAATTGGAAGCATCTCCAGAGTCCGTCGTGATGGCTGGTTTGCAGCTTGGATGCCAAGGAGTTTTCTAATCTCTCAGTTTGTCATGAAAATCCTCTTAGTAAAGCCATTACAGGTTTTCAAATCTGGCATTGTGTGTGTTTAACCATTTTTTACAAAACTCGCCAAACATACAAAGCGCTGACGTCTTAATACGAGCCTGCTATCTGTGACCGCACAGCCTTGTTAAACGCAGACAACTTAAAAACTGAAAACAAAAACACAGCATTGTGTTTTCTCACAGGCATATGCTGTCAAAAAGCTGTCAGCCGTTTGAGGCAGTATGAGAGGGCAGAAGAAACAGCTGTCGTGTTTTTAATCTTCTAAGTTTCATACAGGAGATCCAGTAGTCTAATGCACTTCTCCTGCATTTGGAAGATAGTAAATACGTTGTGTGTGTGTGTGCGCGCGGCACCTTAGGCAACAGATGAGCATCATCAAGGCCCGCTCTCTCCTTTTGCCATTTCCTTGATCGATTACTCAGCTCAGATGAGGCTGTCCTCCCCTCACTCTCGAAGGCAGGGCTTCAAATTTGTCTCGGAGCCCCATTATTAAAAATGATAACTGTAATCTCACCGGCTGCCGGATCTGAATGAGGAAATAAAGGGACGGTAATTCTGAACTGGATGAATTATGAATGGAGCTTTTTGAGAAGTGAGCAAATCGGAAAGGACAATGTTATTGGATTAGTATTGTTGTTTTTTTATCCGTTAATATGTTAATCTGTCTCGTTCTGTCAAGGGGAAGAGAAAGGGGGTAGCCCAGAAAAGAAGATGCAGACAGGCCAGCCTGATGAAGCGGGAAAACAGATGGAAGGTAAGACTAGTATGATTACTTAATTAAAGAAAAAGAGAGATGTACATGGCACATTCCACGTATGCTTTGGTGTCCAATTTCTTTCGTTAAAAGGATGCCCAAAAATCTGATATAGTTTATACTTATTTTGTTCTTCTGTGTGAAGATATTTCTGAAGAATGTTGATTTTGGTTCCCACTGTATGGACAAAAAAAAAAGTTAATATGAGAAGAAACTGTTTGGTACCAACATTCTTCAAAATATCTTCTCTCAAATAGAGGTTTGAAATGACATGAGTGTGTGTAAATCATGACAATTTTCATTTTGGGGTTGGCTAATTTTTAAAGGCTTTAGAAGATAATTAAATATTTTATTCTATTTATTATTTATAGCTTACATAGTAGTTTATCAAATATGTATATTCGAAGTGTATTAGTAAACTGTAAACCTGTTACCTGTAAACTAATATTTGGCCCAAACTAGAGCAAGACAGCTTGATGTAAGCTGAATTTGCAAACCTTTTACCCATTCTACCTTTTTTTTTTTACTTAATTATATTTTTAATTCATTAATTTTTATTATATATATTATATGTTTTTTTATTTGTATTGTATTTGTTAATTATTATTCATTTATTATATTATATATAACATTAATAATATATATTAATATAAATATTAACTATATAATTTAATACTAAAATATGATACTTCCCTCTCTTCGTATTATTATTATTCAATTCTTGGATTTGTATTTTACATTTATTTATTTCAAAAAATAATAAAACATGGTATTTTGTATATTTTTGTATAAAAAAAATTATAGAAAATGCATGGAAGATAAAACCTGTTTTCTAAAGGTTAAGCATTTCTTTCACTGACCATTTGAAAAAGAAAAAAAAACTGCATCCCTATTTATACCCTATTTATGGTAAGTGAAAGTGCCACATTAAGTCTTCATATAAAGCAAGGTCGCACATAACCAGACACACATACAATAATATAGATACACAGAGGCATGTCTGGAACGTGTTCGCGCATTCATTCAATTATGCCCACTATTTGTGTACACAAAACTTGATTAAAGTGTTATGTACACAGATAATGGATAACGATTCCCATTTAGACACAAGCGACAGACTAATACACACACACACACACACACACACACACACACACACACACACACAAACGTGGCAGTACCAGATGTTAAACACGGAGAAGGTGAGATCGATACAACATATTTAAGAAGGCAAAGCCAAGCTCAACACCTCACCATACGGTGCTTTTAACAAAAACACGCTCATGTTCACACACAAACAGCCTTCCATAACACCTCAGCCGAGTGTTTCTGAACGCTGTTGGCACGTGGTCATTAGGGCACTGCTGCCAATTTTAAGCAGGTGTGTCGGCTTGTGTAACTTATAAAAGTCTAATGGTTCTGCATGTGTTAGCATGGGATTGACTTCTGAATAAAAGCATCTGATTCTGCTAAATGACTGACTTACATGGAAGCAAGTAACACAAATAAGGAGCCCTCAGCTCGAGAGGCTTGTTTCGAAAGTCTACATCAATATTAAAAACATCAAATTGTTTGCTCAGTAAAGTGCCTAGGCTTGTTTACTTTTTGAAATTGTGCTCAAAGTGGATCTCACGTTCGACTTGTTCACAGGCTTTTCCCCTCGACCGGCCCTGTACGGTTGACTCGATAAGATTCATAAATTAAACAAAGTTCTCTTAGCCTGAAGGTACCTATGAATAAGTCTGGCTTTGCTAATGGAGGCCGTTTTTTCGGCCATGGAGTATTGCGGTTCCTGCGGTGGGAGTCGATATCGCCTCTTCGCCTGCATGCAGGTGAGATTTACTGCGATGGCTGCTGAGCCTCAGTGGCTCTGAATCCAATCAGAGTTTCTCTCCTCATCTCTCACTGTCTGACTGATGAAGGTGGGCTTTTTCACTCTGTCGCACCAACCGAGGTTCAGCCTGTTTCTGCATGTCGTTTTTTGATTGCAAACCGCAAGACTTATTTTGCCTGATTAAATCTGATGTTGCAATGGTAAAGTAAATCGACCGCAGACTACTTCAAATGATGGTTGGAGAACAGGTGGATCTTTATTTCGGTGTAAGATATCTTAAGAAAAGTGTTGTTTTTGGAAAGCTTAAGGATCCCTTGTGCTGGGTGATTGAGAGTTTGTGTGTGTGTCTAACTGTAAGGTTAGAAATACGCTCTAAGTACACAAACATGACGTGCTGATGTATCTAACGCTTGATGAAGAGGATGCAAATTGTGACTTTGCTGCACGTTAAACAAACATTTTTTTTTTCAAATTTGATATAATATCGGTCATCAATTATGCTCTGTTTGTAGGGCTTGAAAAATGGACTAAAATTGTAGTATTATTGTTGTTATTAAATTAAAAATAACTAAGTACATACAAAATAAATATATTGCTTTTGTAATATTTCACTGTAAAATAAATATATTACATATATTTATAGAAATATTTCGTAATTAGTAATGTTAGTAATAGTATTATTATTTTACATTTAAAACTGTAAAATTACAGTGTTATTTATGGATTTATTTTTATTTTGATGGAAAACCACAGGGAGCCTTTAAAGGTTGTCTTTTGTTGATAAACACTTCTCATTTCTCACACTATTTCCCTTTTATAATACTGTAAAGCTGCTTTGACACTTTGATCTGCATTGTAAAAAGTGCTATATAAATGACGGTGACTTGACTTGACATTATCAAATTGCAAAATCATTGCAAACTTTGCAATTTGATAAACCATATTGTGATTTTGGTTATATTGATTAATTGTGCATCCTTATAACATAATACAGTATATGTAATATGTACACAACAAATCTCTTTGTTGATTATAATGAGAGCATTCTAGAGCATCTCACTTGTGTATATTGTATAGTTACATCACGTACTAAAGATATTTTTGAGTGTTAAGTGATGTTTCTTAAGCACTAATTTTAGTGTCACCAGTAAACAAAACTGAAATATAATTAATTCCACATAGTACAACTAATGCTGTAATCAGCACTTTAAGGACACTTTGTAGTGATTATTCAGGCCTTATATATTGTGTGTTTGGTTTCTGTTTGTATCTGGAAATCCTCCTTATTTTTGGTAGTCCATTGGTCATTGGCTGCATGGGTTTACACTTGATAGTTATCTTCACATGTCTGTTACATTAAACTGGGTGTGTTATTATTTATGGGGCTAACATTTGACAGTTTGAAGCAGTTTCAAGTTTTCGCAAGTTACTTTTCTATTGTGCTAGAGCAGAACTCGAGCTTCTGTAGCTAGAAACATTTGCTTGCACATGCTTACATGGCGTAAAGTTGGTTTCAGGTCTTAGAATTATTAAAGCCAATGTTGTGTGAGGAAAAACTTGAGAGAAGACAAAATTGAAAGGGAGGCAGAACACACACTTTCGCTCCCATTGTCTTTTGTTCTCAAGCACAGTGGGCAATCAGTGTTTCTCAGCGAGAAGAAGACGGCTCAGAGTTTTCATTTTGGACATTTTTTTATTTTTATTTGTTCTTTTACTCTCTCCAATCCTTTGTTTTCTGTCTGATGTCATGGTGAGGCTAAAATGGAGCAGTTTGCCAGCTTAACTCTTGGATAGCAGTCAATATTCATCATTTCCTGTCTTCCATCCACCGTAGTGAAATCACACGTCACCCATTCTCATAGCCATTCTTTTGCCCCTCCGATAAGAATTTATATTCACTCAGGAAATCATCAAAAGAAATCATTGTTTATTTAAGGGCTATGCTCACTTATTTATTTGTTTACTTCTTGAAGCTACACCCGCAGGATTCTCCATGTAACGTTGCCCGGATTTGGATCTCCTGGGTTTTTGTTTCTTGTGTATTAACTATTGATTGCGGCCAAGTTTTCAAGACTGCGATAGTGATGGCATCCTAGTCACTCGCAGCCTCCTGGAGAATGTGGCCCTGAGGCAGAAACCCAACAGTATCCGCTGTGGCCATCTGTTGCTTGTGTTGAAGCCCTGCACATTTCTAGCTTCTCAGTTCAGTGAAACCCACCCAACGACAAAGGGAGCTGCATTTGCCAACTGCTAATATTTAGTCATCATTAGACACCATTTTGTCTTTTTTTGTTTATCATTGACATAATTTGATTTGTTGGCTTATTCTCAATTTCCCTCAGTTTTTCCCCATCGTTGAGGAGTAGCTAGGCTATTTTTATTTTTCAATAGCATGACAAAGCTGTTTTTTTGTTTTTTTTTTAAGTGTAGCTTTTCCAGTAATGACCTGATTTTTCCACTGAGAGGCAGTGTAGTGTGACTAAGCATTGCATTTTTGTTACATTCTTTTGCAGGTCTGATTCATTCTAGTGAATCTGTTAATTCAAACAGTTCATGCAAATGAATTCATTTTAAAAAAAATATTTCTCTTTTTATAAATTAAAATATTGGGTTATATGCAACTGTTTTTGACTGACTTGTGAATTAAAGTGTATTCATTTTTTATTTTATTTTATATTTAGCTTGAATTTATCTGTTCATTTATTGCTGTCACACTAATTTAAATTGTTCCTTCATTCAAAAACCCCTTATTGTTTTTGTGCCAGTTGTAACTAAATATATCTAAAAAGATTGTTCCCTAATGTAGCTTTAATGCAATTATTTATTTAGGAGATGCTTTTATGCAAAGTGACCTATTGTGGAGCATCGCAAGCAGTTTCTCATAAAAGTCAATAATATTTGCAGTTTACAATGCCAGATTTCAAGTATAAGCTAGTTTAGCACACAAGCTAGAGCACAAGTGCAATTCATAAAAGTAGAGAAGAAAAAATGTATTTCATTTGTTTCTTTGTAAACTTAGTAATTATTTAATTGATAGTAATGCATTTATAATAATTTATTATATATAATTTATTTTTATTTTTTATTTATAATTAGGAGTTATTATAGTGCTTGTGGAAGTTATATGTGACCCTGGAGCACAAAAGCAGTCTTAAGTCGCTGGGGTATATTTGTAGCAATAGCCAAAAAATACATTGTATGGGTCAAAATTATAGATTTTTCTTTTAAGCCAAAAATCATTAGGATATTAAGTAAAGATCATGTTCCATGAAGATATTTTGTAAATTTCCTATGGTAAATATATCAAAACTTAATTTTTGATTAGTAATATGCATTGCTAAGAACTTCATTTGGACAACTTTAAAGGCGATTTTCTCAATATTTTGATTTTTTTGCACCCTCAGATTCCAGATTTTCAAATAGTTGTATCTCGACCTAATACTGCCCTATCCTAACAAAAAATATAGCATGATTGTGTAGAAAATAATAAGTTGTTTGTAACATGGAAAGTTATAGTTTCAAAGCACTAACAGTACTTTCCCAACTGTCATATTTCTGTTGCGTGAAATGGGAAACTTTGACCACTCAAGGTGTCTGTTTTTAGTAGAATCACTTGAGCGAGGTCACACTTCTTCTCTCCATTGTGACTCTCCTCTCGATGGACCCCTGTTGGGTAGCTCCTCTGATCCGCCATCCATAGAGGATTTACATGGTGGAGAGACAGGTGGAGGCAACAGCCTTTTTAATTGGCTGTTTAAATGTGACTCTCTGTTCTGTTTGTGTGCCAGGGGAGATTGTGGATGTGAAGGCAAAGCTCAGAGAGCTTCTGTCAGCCTGTGGCTAGGGCTTATCACAGCACAATTAGCTATTGCCCTGGGCTCGTATATTGCAGCGGTCCTTGAAATAGGCATTAGCCAAATTTCCTGCATAAATGCAAATATTCTAGTGCTGTGTCTACATCCTGCCCCAAAACTGTCCTAGCACTTTGCTTTGGAGCAGGACAGATTAAATAACACAAAGACAAGAACAACATGCACAGTACTTTAAAGGGATAGTTCACCCAAAAATGAAAATTCTGTCATTAATTACTCACCCTCATGTCGTTCCAAACCCATAAGACCTTTGTCCTCTTCGGAACACAAATTAAGATATTTTTTGATGAAATCCAAGAGCTTTCTGACCCTGCATAGACAGCGAAGCAACTGACATTTTCAAGGCCCAGAAAGGTAGTAAGGACACTGTTAAAATAGTCCATGTGACGTCAGTGGTTCAGCTATTTGACTATTTTAATGATATGCTCTCTACCTTTCTGGGCTTTGAACGTGATGTCCACTGCGGTCTATGTAGGGTCAGAAAGCTCTCGGATTTCATTAAAAATATCTTAATGTGTTTTGAAGATGAACAATACGGGTTTGGAACCACATGAGGGTGAGTAATTAATGACAGAATTTTCATTTTTGGGTGAACTATCCCTTTAATGTGTTTTGTACATCTAGGTTAGCTCATACAATTGTAGCCTCTCTGGAGCTGTGGCTTAGTGGTTAGTTGTGGTTCTCATATAAGAGAAGAAGGTTCAAATCCAGTCCCTCAAAAATTATTTTTTTTCATTTTTTAAGTTTTTGTTTTAGTCATACAGTATTTTTTGTTATTTGATGAAAATACCTCATTGCCATGTTCATTAATTGTTAGTAGTATTATAACTGTTGTTGTTGTTGTTAATAATAATAATAACAATAATAATAATAGTAATAATCTTGTTTGAATTTGTGTAATTTTTTTTAGTTGGCGAGGGTGCAAAAAAATTAAAATTTAAATAGACAGACAGATAGGCAGATAGATGGATGGATGGATGGATGGATGGATGGATGGATGGATAGGTAGATAGATAGATAGATAGATAGATAGATAGATAGATAGATAGATAGATAGATAGATAGATAGATAGATATGGAGTATTTTGGAAGGATGGAATGATTTTGGAGTGTTTCTGTTGGAAGTATTGCCCATTCATCCAGTAGGGCATTTGTGAGTTCAGGCACTGATGTTGGACGAGAAGGCCTGGCTCCATTCCTCCATTCCACTTCATCCCAAAGGTGTTTGATGGGGTTGAGGTCAGGACTCTGTGCGGGCCTGTCAAGTTCTTCCACACCAAACTCATCCAACCATGTCTTTATAGACCTTGCTTTGCACCCTGGGGCACAGTCATGCTGGAATAGAAAAAGGCCTTCCCCAAACTGTTTCTACAAAGTTGGAAGCCTAGCATTTTACAAAATGTTTTGGTATTAGGCATTAAGCATGAAGCATTAAGATATCCCTTCACTGTAAGTAAGGGGCCTTGAAAACCAACCCAATACCATTATCCCTCCTCCGTTGAAATTTACAGGAAGGTAACATTCTCCTAGTATCCGCCAAACCCATCCGACTGCCAAACAGAAAAGCATGATTCGTCACTCTGTAAAACATGTTTCCACTGCTCCAGAGTCCAGTGGTGGTATGCTTTATACCACTCAGTCCATATATATATATATATATATAGAGAGAGAGAAATAAGTATCAACATTTAACAAAAAAATCGGATCTTCTGGTATATGGAACACACAATTGTTAATGCTAAATCCATTTGTTGTCCATGTTAAACTTTTGTTAGAGGACAGGCTTGATGGAAACCAAGCCATATAACCGCTTTCAGGCAGAGGTTCCACCATTGTATGAATTCACACATAAATATGACCCTCACAAACCCTCTTCAGCCACCACAACCATCTGCTGATGGACCCTGGACTTCAAACACACCTGATACGGCTGTTATTTATGCCCCGGCAGAGCACCCAGAATGCATTGTGTGTGCTCTCCATTATGTAGTCACCTATGGCCCACAACCCTGTTAGCATCAAAGCAGGGAGAATGCAGGAGAAGAGGAGTCCTGCTCAAATAAGCCGGAAGGAGCACGGCTCTCACACTGTGGCTTTGAAGATCTTCTTTTGATCAGAGTACTCGTCCCTCCCACAGCTCTCCAGACGGGGGGGTCAGGGGAGTGTGCGAGGAATATGGAGGCAGGATAAATCACAACGAATGTGAAGAGTGCTGAGGCACAGGATGCAGAGCTTATATTTGATAATGGCAGTTTTGTTTTGCTTATGCCTATTCATTTTGTCTCTCACACACACCTCTCTCCTTGCAAAGGTGCACAAAATCCATTAAAAAGGCACATAGAATTTAGGTGCTTTAATGCATATTAAACAAAAGAAAAAAGAGAGAGAAGAAAAACCATGGACAGTTTGGAAGGAACAGCAAACTATGTGACATACACACTTTAAAACTAGAGCTGTGTATAGTGTTGCTTCTTTGGAAGCTCTTTTAACCTCTTTTCTGTTTTAATGGCCATCATGTTCAGAATATTCTCTCTGTTTCTCCTCTCTCTGTGTTAATAGAGTCAACAAAGAGTGCAGACACCGGGGCGGACACCAGTCAGGGGCCCGAGGTTCCCATGGAGGTTCTGGGTATGTGTTAAATCAATTTTCCCAAATATTTTTTTTTTTGTGTAATATATCTCAAGGTCACATCATTAAGGCTCAACACATAATTTTTACAATAATGAGAAGAACAGTGCACTAATGTGGTGCATGCTAGCAGCGAAAACATATTTTATGTAAGATTAAGTATATAATGTACACTGCCTTTTAAAAGTTTGAGATTAGTAAGTTGTTGTTTTTTTTTTTTTTAGAAATAAATGCTGTTATTCAGTAAGAATGTGTTAAAGTGATCAAAAGTGACACTAAAGACACATTCCCTAGTAAAAAGTAATATATTTAAAAATACATTTATGTCATACTAAGTATAGTTCAAATTTATTAACTTGTTTTTCTGACATATCGCTCAAGACTTACGGATATAAAAATTATAATTCAACTTTATTTGGAGTACTGCTTGTGCACAATGCACATTTCTATGGAAGCCCATTTCCGCCACTGAATAAAAATTAAAAGAGGTAATTGCGACTTTTTATCTCACAATTCTGACTTTTTTTCTCAGAATTGCGTGATACAAACTCGCAATTCTTACTTTTTTTCTCAGAACTGTGTGGTATAAACTCGCAATTCTGACTTTTTTTCTCAGAACTGCGTGGTATAAACTCGCAATTGCGAGTTATAAAGTGAGAATTGTGAGATATAAACTCACAATTCTGAGAACATATCAGTTTTTTTCCCCCCCTCAAAATTGGACTTTAACTCGCAATTGCGAGTTTATATCACGCAATTCTGACTTTATAACTCGCAATTGCGAGTTTATATCTCACAATTCTGTGAAAAAAAGTCGCAATTAACGTGACCTTTTTTACAGTTTTTAAGAGAACGTCAGAATTGCGTGATATAAACTCGCAATTGCGAGTTA